CACACACGACGCGCGCACGGTGAAAATCACTCTCGCGGCTCGCGAGTCGCGTCGCCACGCCCTACTACACATGATTACGGCCGAAAAGGCGGTGAGACCGTGAGACTAGCGTCGATCCACCCGCACGCATCAAGAGGCCGCATCCGCATGGCGTCGCACGGCGCACGCATCAACCGCGCGCGCGGCATCGTTCGCTCGCCCCTCGCCCGCATCGGATTCTTCCCTCCCCGTCCCGTCCCCCCGCGCGCGCCCGGCCTGAGCCTGATACGTTAGCGCATCCCGTGACCGCCGTGGGCGCGTGCGCACGCGCGACAACATATCACCACCACCACCCCCCGCGTGGGCGAAGGTTCTCCCCGCCCCCGCGCGGGCCAAACATGCCGCGACGACGCTAACGACACGCGCCATCGCCTCTCCCAACCAATCTCTGAACCGATAAACAAAAACAAACCCCTCCCCCACACACGCTGATTCGCAGCCCAGATTAGTATTACACTTGCCCCAGCTGCTCATATTAGTGTATAGGATTATTAAACTAGTAGTATTATGGAGCAGCACTGTGCCGGTCATAAGAAAGATACTCGACTGTCATGTCTGGTCTCGGTTGGTGGAACGTTTGCAGATCAGAAAAATAGGAGTATAGTAGTACTTATACGAGCAAGTTTAATAGTGTAGCCAACTTATGGCTCCAAATCATTCATAATTAATTTAATAGCTAATTTATATAATAGTTGTCTATTGTCTGGTCTCACCTATCATACACACGTATCTTGAAGTCCGTGCTGCAGCTGGCTATAAATCTATAGCCCGTAGCTCTTCTCTCTTATCTTTTATATACTTAAAATATGTTTGTAGCTGACTTATAGCCTGCTATTGTACCTGCTCTACATAGATGAGCAGACAGAGCGGGCTGGAATTCCCAGGTTGCGAAACATAAGAAAAATGATTGATCGATCGAGATGCTGCTTCTCACGTTTGACGATCGACTTGGGCGGGCGATTAGGAAAACGCGAAGATTCTCTCAGGTTCTTGGAGAGCCACCAATAAACATTCAGAGTTGCAGATAAGCCCGCGCTTCTTCAGAGATGAGCTGATGAGATCACATGCGCGTGCATGTCTCGTACCTACATATATTCCTAGCGCCTAGCACGGCGATCGATCGCTCGCCTCGCCCCCAACCTTGTTCGTTTCCAATTCTAGGCTAAGCCGTAAATTAATCTTGCACGGCAGCCATGTGCAAACTAGAACACACACAAAAAAAAAAATTCAGACAGACAGACAGACAGACGGTCAGACAAACAAACGCTACGTAACTCAACGCAGTGGCCGGAATCTGTTCGATCACTGTATCCAATAGCTCGGCTAAGTACCTCTGACGCGATCTGATCCACAAGATTCCCTGTGCTTTAGCTGCTACACCGCTACAGTCACCATATATTCCCCCCCCCCCCCTTTTACCATGCTGATTGATTTGCATGCATGCTGATCATATCGATCATGCATCTCCTTTTCGTTTGTTTGGCTTTCCGGGAAACAACCGTACTTTTGGGCTAATCTTTATCTGTCTCTATGCATCATCATCATAATCATCGCGGACAGCAGCAAACAGAGACAAAAGTAAAGGCTGATGGCGAGTGAGTGCCCTCCTTTCCCCTGCTGCCTGCATATCCCTCGAGATACATCGTCAGCTCGATCCCTTTCTCCCCGGAGAATCACTGGGAAATCGCGGCCACTTTTGTGGGCGACCTTGAGCTTTTTTTATTACTCGGCGACTGTCCTTGTCGTCGCCGTCGATGGCTAGCCGACGCTAGCTGCAGAAGTACGGAGAGCTTCGGCTCGAATCAATAATTAAAAGTGAGAGCTGAGCGTGATGAGCAACTGAGCGAGCAAATTGCCTTGACCGCAAGGCGCCCAACGGAGAAGGCCAAAACTTTTTCTCGCATACGGCTTAGCTAGCTAGCTGTCGAATCTAGCAGTTCAACCTAAACATTCCTTTGCTGAGAGGTATGTGTACCAACCACCAAACCTTGTCCTTCCACATGAAATTTCCGTCCTGTATATATACACTCACCATCATCTCGATCTGCAACGCATATAGTAGTATCTTGCAAGCTTTGTTCCAAGATCCAACTGAACGACTGAAGCTTCATTTTTTTTTCACTGAATTATACATAGATTTTACCTTTATACTTTGCAAATGGAAATGCACGAAGATCCAGCATCATTCACGTACTAGAAAAGGAATAGGGTGTATATTGTACAACGACAATATAGCACAGCACATCTTTGAGTTCAATATATAGAATGTCTGATGTACAAATCGGCGAGAGAGATGCAATAATTCAGAGTGCCCATACCGTGGCGCGCCGCGACAAGGGTGCATGCACAAGGCGAAAGGTACATCCTATCTCTCGATACATCTGTCAAACGAAGCGAGGCAGCACAACCAAGCAGCAGCAAGCACGAGCTTAGCGAGAAGCTGATCCACACAGCGTACTGTGCATATAAGCCAAGGGCTATAGGTGTGGTCACGGGCTAGACGAGGGGTATCTTCTGGCCCAGGCATCTCTCCTACGTTGCAATGCTCGAAGCGAGGAATGCAGTTATATAAACACAAATTATTGTTAGGATATACTTCCCCCGTTTCATAATGTAAGACTTTATATCATTATCCACATTAGATGCTAATGAATCTATATATATAATAATGTCTAGATTCATTAGTATCTATATAAATATGGACAATGCTAGAAAGTCTTACACTGTGAAACGGAGGGAGTAGTTTTAGGTAACAATAATTTCTAGTGTAAAAAATAATATATCTTTGTATATTCAATACTAGGAGGTACCATATATATTGTACACTATAAAACATGGTACATCTATGTTACCTTTCAAAGGACCTGAATTTTTTCTTTCGCTTATCTTTTTCTTTTCTAAAAAAAGAAGATCTAGTCTTGTTTAGGATAGCTTTTGTAGCTATAGCTTTTTTTAGAATAAAAACTCCTCCAAACAATTTAGCTTTTCATTCATATTATGAGAAGTCGTAGTTGCAGAATCTAGAAAATACACTATAACTTAGAAGCTAATTTTCCCAACTTCTCCAAATTCTCACCAGATGGATTCCCACCAGTTGTTTCTCATAATTTCAAGCTCCCCAATCACGATAGGAATGGAATCAAATCGTCTTGGAATTGGTAATAAGGATGCCTATTTGTTCTATGTTACTAATTTGACACCAATTTCTCTTGTTCCAGATTTATATTTTCATCTTGAAAATTATTACTAGGAAAAAGCTAGTAATTGAATCCCAAGCATAATTATGTGATAATTCTTTTTCAAAGTGAAAATTCATTTTTATATAACTGTAAAAACTCATTTTACATGCATAATTCAGCTATCCAACACAGAATATATGTAACTAGCCAAATTTCTCGCGTAATTTTACACATAGCTAGATTATAGTGTAACTGAAAGTACATTTGATTTTATGCATATATTGCTTATATTTTCAATAATAAACAATATTTTATTTTTTATACATCTATATCAAATCAATCTACATTGTTGTAATCGAGACCCACCACAATCAGACGATGCACATCTTTGTTTTTCCTATATATATCCACCTATGCAATAATTTCTAGGCACTCAAATGGCTCCTCGTGGCGCTTTTATATAAATAAAAAATCAATTCTTTTTCTTTTCCTCAATTTAAGATGTTTATTTCAAGTCGTCTAGAATAAAACCAAATCAACCTTATTGTCATGCTACTTCAATAAAATACATATATAATCATTTATAATCACCCATGCATCCTTTACTACATTACCAGTTAAGATTATATATCAGCTTGCTGGCATAAGACAAGAGCACTTGGATTAAGTACTGATTAAGTGAATCGAGAAAGGAAGTCCAAGAGAGGTTCAACAAAAATGTGCCCATCCACAAAAATGTGTTGTATTACGGTGATGTTTGGTTTCCAGCCACAATTTGCCACGCCTAATGTTAGACATGTTTAATCATATTGGCAGCTGTTTGGTTGTAGCCATAGATGTGGCAAACTTCTTTTTCAACAAACTGAACCCCACGTGTCATTGACTCAGAAAAGTGTGGCAAGATTCCTTTAGCCTTGCTAAGGTGTGGCTAGGAATTTGATCTCCTCAATATATACAAGTGTGCAAATGGTGGCAAAGTATATATAGCTAGGAAACAAACTAACACACCCTACAAGTCGTGTGGTCTTTCTCAGTGTAGGCATGTGTCTCCTGAGAAGAAAAATGAGAAAGGCGGTATAATGTTACAAAATAGAATGATCTGAAATGGATTGAATCTGGAACTGCCATATATGGATGAGACAATGTGCAGTGATTGTTCTAGTAGTTATTTGTTTGCTTGACAAACAAAATTCAAATTCACATATACAAATTAAACTGGCAGTTAGCTAAATGTTGGAAAATGGGAATCATGCGAGCACGCCAGCGTCTCCAGTTAAAAAAGATATTTTCTTGCCCTCGTAATATTAGTTAAAAATAACTACAAATAAATCATTTCTAGTATGTATATCTGCTATTGAAATAGAGAGAGAGAACCAATTGAATTGTGAAACTTCATATTTAATTTCTTCCTTTCCTAAAGTATCACTTAAAAAAAATCGAATAGCACTTCCTATAACATGTAAATGCACATATATGTATATATGTATAGATATGGTATCAATATTAATTTGATGACTCAATCAAATAACCGGCATGGACGGATTTTAATTCGCACATCGATCCGTGTATACCCCCACAAAAATATGTTGGACTCTTATATACTATATTTTTTTAATAAAAAAATCTGGTAACTTAGCTTTCCTCGGCTGGTGGTATAATCTAGCCAGAAGTAGAACCATATATCATGGCTGTTCATAAATTACCTTGTCTTTTTCTAAAAAAATAATACTGTCTATATAAAATATGTGCATATTATACTCCATTAATTCAAACAAAATCATAAAAACTGGAAAAATCATGCATTTGAGCCAACATGATCAATTGCACTTTGCAGGGCAATATATGGTTTTTTTTGCTACAAGGAACAGTAATTAATTAATAAAAACAAGAAATTGAAAGGGAAAAAAAAGAGAGGAAGAGAACGAGGGGAAATTAAGCCACTCTCTTTCCCCCATTGAGCTAGCTACAAATTGAACATTCTTATTGGCTCTATGGAACTATACTTAACCCAACAAGGATCCAACTACAAGGAGGTGAAAACAAACAACAAGAACAATAGCAACGGCATTAACACCAACCCCACCGAGAGCAACAAGGGTCATCACACGCGTCCACTCGCACTAGCCTTAATTACTTAATTAGTCAGAGAGGACGCCTCTCTTCCTGACTAAACCCCAAGTTTTCCAGGTCATGATATGCTTGAAGAGCTAGCTTAGTATAGCTTTTATCCCATGCATGCTTGCACACCAGCTCATGCGATCGATCAAACTTAGTTGCTAACTCGACATTAGGCTATATATGATGAGTATACTATAACCTTAGCTTGCTCCTCCCCAATTCATGCGCGCATGCGTTAATCCCCCAGAGTTGCAGTTGCATTGCTTCAAGTCTCAGACTCTCACTTGGTACTACTACCGATCGATCGGAGCTTGACGGCTTGTGTAAGCTCGATCGATGACTTGATCATGGTGGATTCATGGCATCCTTCTCCCGTTGAAGGACGATGCGGACTTCATCTCGGCCTCCAAGGAGCTCATGTCGCTGCTGCTCTGGTGGTGGTCTCCTCTCGGCGTCGACATGCCATGGACGATGCCGCCACCGCCGACGCCGAGGAAATCCCGCGTCCCGTCGCCGGTGCCGGCGCCGGCGCCGCCTCCGCCTCCGCCGCCCTGGCTGAACTTCACCTCGTGCTCGATGTCGCACAGCCTCGGATCAAACATCCCCGCGCCAGGGACGCCGCCGCCGTTGGTGCCGCCGAACATGGCGGCGGCGTTGACGCCGCCGCCGGCGAGGGAGTTCATCAGGTCGTTGAGGTGCGCGTCGCTCTGGTCCATGTGCTGCGCCGCCGGCCGCATGTGCGGCGACGAGCCGACGAAGCCACGGAACATGGAGCCCGGGCCGTTCGCGCTCGACGTCGCGCCCATCTGCGCCGCCTTCTGGAGGAGAGCCGGTCGCCGACATCTGCGGCAGCATCGCCGCTTGATCGTTGTAGAGCCCTGCAGGAGAAACATGGTCGCCACCAACGAAGTTACCGCCGGAGATCCCCGCCGCCGACGCGTCAGACCGCCGCCGCCGCCTGCACCACAGCTGAACTGGTCATTGCTCATCAGCCCCTGGCTGGCATGCTCATGGCTAGACCCCGAGCTGTTGCCGTTGTTGGCGAAGAAGCCGAGGTTGAAGAGGTTAGGTCCCGGCGCGCCGGGGCCCCCGGCGCCATTGCCCTGGAGGTCGGGCAGCTGCATGAGGCCATGGAACGGCTTGGCCTGCAGGAACGAGTGCTGCCCATTGCCAGCGTCGTCGCCGAAATCCTGCCCAGTCGCCGCCGCCGCCGCGGCGGCGTTGAGGAAGAACGCCGGCTGCGGGGGGCGGAAGGCAGACGCGCCCGACGGCGACAGCAGGTGGTCGAGCCGCGCGGCGATGCTGCTCCCGCCGCCGGCCCCGCCGCCACCGCCCGCGCCGCCGAGGCGGAGCAGCTCGGGGGACGGGTGGTGGTGGTGGCCGCCGCCGTCCTGGAGCGAGGTGGTGAGGTGGGAGCCCACCTGGGAGAGGCTGAGCGCCATGTTCCCGGCGTTGCTGGCGCCGTACAGGTGGCTGGTGAGGCTGCTGAGGCTCGTCGGCGGCAGCCTGGAGCTCTCCTGCGCCAGCGCGTCGCAGAACGCCCTGTGCGTGATGAAGCTGTCCCTCCTGCACGCGCCATGGACACGAGTACACAAGCATTCAGCAAAACAAAACAAAAAGAAAAAAAAAATCTTAGGTTAGAGTGCAACTTGATCCAGTGATCCCTCTACTCGACCTCTGCATGCCGTGACATTGCCATGCATGACAACGAGCTCTCGAGTGTGCAGTAAAAGTGAACAGTAAAAAGTTGATGTGAGAGGTGCTAGCAGTAGCAGCTGCAGCCGCAGCTTGCAAGAGACGGCCGTGCATGGGCGGCGCGCACACCGAGGAGGAGGAGGAGGAGGAGCGGCATCTCGGGTTAAGTTATTGTTTTCTGGTCAGCATGTGAGCGCTGCACTGCTGCAACTGGGTGCTGCGAGCCTGTGCCGCTGAATGTTGTGTTTGCAGCTGTTGTTTTCATGAACCTGAACAGTAACTTTACTTTCTACAGGGCTGTGCATGCATTCCCCCCTTTCTGTAGCTACTGGTAATTAAAAATGTTCCACACCACGTCAAATTATTAACTCACATTATCTAAGTTAAAAAAAGATGTCATATTACTTCCTGAAATCATTAATGATGCTACTACTAGTAAAGGATAGGGTTTGACAATTCATACTTGTTTGTTCAAAAAGGAGAAGAACGAACTAGTACCACTTTTTGTCAAGGGTGTTAGGTATCCATGCATGCAGAGAGGTATGCAACCCACGCACAAAAGCTAGCCCAAGATCCCAGAAACCCATGTCAATCAAAGGGAGCGTAAAAAAGGAGGTAAATCTCATCCTAGCTTGCCGTGATGTGCCGCTCATAGGTTCCCACTAGTAGGAAGCTTCAAAAGAGAAAGCCAGGAAGGGGAAACTGTTTTAAGCCAGGAAGACATAGACATCAGACGTTGTCATGCACACCAACACACACACCAAGGAGATCAGAAAACTTTGTGGGCTGGTAAGCTCACTTCCCTAGAAACCAACACACAAGGAAAAAGAAAAAGCTTGAGGACTGATACGATTGCAGTTGAAAATCATATGAACATAAAAAAAATTGAGCTGTGATATGAAATTGAACAAATGGTTCAAACCAGTGCTTGGTTGCGCCCCACCCAGAAATTTTATAAGAATCTGAAGATGAGAGGGTATAGATGCAAGGTATTAAAAGATCCCTAAAAAAATTATACTCCTATATAGCAAGGGGTCCATCAATTCCACTTGAAATGCTATATATGATCGAGCTCATTCACCTGTCCGAAATTACCATAGTTCTCACAAAACAACTACTACTCCTAGGAAAAAGATTGCTAAAGTAGAGCTCATTCACCTGTCCGAAATGACCATAGTTTTCACAAAACAATTACTACTCCTACTAGGAAAAAAGAATGCTAAAGTAGGTCATACACTAACAACAAAAAACTCTACATGAGCCTAGAATTCCTGTGCCCCTTTTCAGGAACCCAAAATCACTCACACACATGCATGAATGGATTCCTTTTTGCAGAAACAGTGAACAAACTCAACACGAAGGCTCATCAATGCAACTCCTGTTGATACTCTAATTCTAAATGTGTCAACTCCCTATTGGAGAATTTTTTGCCAAACTCATGAAAGAAGAAGTAGGAGTGACCACTAGCCAGCATTGAACACGCCTGTTTAATTCCATCAATAAATGAAGAGTTCCTAAAAGTTACACCTAGTTGGTGCCTGATGAGTGATGAGATATATGTGAGGGCCGGGCGTTTGCAACGTATCCATGAAAAGGTGCGTGGCCCCTGGCCAAGCCTGGCTCACTGCCACGGCCAAAGAACGGTTCTGCCACATCTAGCTAGCCAGCCAACTCACATGAGAACAAGCTAGGCTTACATGGCAGCCAAGTGATTCAGTAGAGAGAGAGTGAGAAGAGAAAACTGTAGACAGGAGAGAGGAAGCCGGCCTGCATTGCCGCTCCTCCTTACAACTGGACTGCTACTGACACGCTGGCCCATGATAAATGCGGGCCCACAGGACAGTGTAACAGAATGCTTACACATACCAAGCTTTTGGCTAGAGAGAGAGAGAGAGAGAAGAAGAGTTGCTGGTTCCAGCTTCCCAAGGGAGAGAAAAGCCAAGTATGAGGGTCTTGTGAGCAAATGCCAAAGGACAAAAAGAGAGGAGAAGAAAAGAAAAAATGGTTTTTTATAAGAATGCCATTTCACGTGCGAGCAGTTCTCCATCGCCGGTGCATCTTCCTCCTCCTTCCTCAGGCTTAGCTAGACGCGGCCACTAGCTCGATCGCACGAACGAACTAACAGCCATGCCACCCACTGTGCACGCCCAAACAAAAACCCTAACCCTAAAGAAACAAACCAAACGCACTACACAACAGTAGCCGGCCACACCCTTGTTTACTACTTTACTCCGCTCACCGAACACATCCAGCAAGCAGGTGATCTGATGAATCGATCAGAGGCCATGCGAAAGCCTATATATGGCGACGCACACTGACGACGGCAATGTATATATATGGAGCATTTGCAGTGCAGCATGAAGGAGAGGGAGATCGGGTACCTGGAGAAGAGGGTGCCGCAGTCGCAGCGGTACTCGCGGGTGCCGCAGATCTTGGAGTGGGCCTTCCAGTCGGACTGGACAGCGTAGCGCTTGGAGCACTTGTCGCACTTCCACTTCTTCTCGCCGTGCTTGCGGCAGAAGTGCTTCTTGATGCCGGTGAGGTCGCCGAGGGCGCGGGCCGGGTCGTGGTGGACGCACGTCGGCTCCGGGCACAGGTACACGCGGCGGCGCTGCGCCTGCGCCGGGTTCTTCTGCTTCAGCTTCCACGGCAGGTTGTGGCCTCGCCGGTGCAGCTGTAGGTTCTGCTCCCGCTGGAATCCCTTGTTGCACACCTCGCACACGAACCGGTTCGTCGCCAGCAGCGTCTTGGGCGACAGCGCTATCACCTCCGCGTCCGGGTCTGCTGAAAATCAAAAACCAGTACTAAGACACACAAAGTTCAGTTAATCAGCTCATTAATTCCTTGATGATCAATGTGTATATTACATTTCGCTTCAGATATATGTATATGTGCGTGACACTTTGCAAAGAAATTAAACAATGCATCCATTTTACACACAAGCATGGAGTTAATGGAGGTAGTGGCAGTCGTCAACATTTTGTGTGGATTAGGAAAGAGGCATATCGAACAGTAGTCGCGATGAAGGGATATATTATCACAAGTATGGGTCTTAATTATCTCACGACAATTATCTATATTGGATTTGTTTGCTTATAAGTTAGGCATGCATGATTAACTAATGGTGGTGGGAGCTAGTACTGATGATGGATTAATTTGGGGAAGATGTTTTTTTTTCTTTCTGTTGGTGGGGCTGAGAGGTAGAGACAAACTAGACCATGGAGAAGGGAATATTTGCATGAGATTTTAGGAAAAAAGAACTTTGCTTGAAGAGATATAGAGAACAAGGGAATAGACATGGATTGTGTGCCATGGCTCCTATTTGCTTCTCATAATTGGGGGAAGAAAAAAGAATATTGATCTATACTACTGAAGAGGATAACAGCTCATGTACATGCATGGAATCTTGAAAAATGAACTGATTTTGTTTTATCTTGCGAAATATATGGAACTATGCCCATGCTCTTAAAACTTCTCATGGAAGAACTGGGAATTCTGGGACTACTGATTGATCTAACTAAAACGCAAGAGATCGATACTCCTTGACAAGGGAAAAAAAAGAATAGTTTAACCATGAAAGACGGAGTACTTTCTGTATTCTTCACCTGAATTAATTCTCTTTCTTTCAGGTGACAGTACAGAGCTTTAAATGAAGTACTAGGAGCAAACTGATGAAAGCCAAGTTGTTCATGTCTATTCGCTTTTATTGAACTGGTAGACGCCTAGATGCATGGTAGGGAAGGGATCCAGATTCCAGACTGAAGAAATGGAATAAGGAAAAGATAGATGACGAAGTACGAACTGGGTAAAAAAACAAAAAGACAAAGAACCAGTTCACAAAATTCAGTCTACATAAAAAAGAAACAGGCAATTCAGCACTGATGAGGAATGATATTTCGGAAGCAAGAAACCAAAGAACAGATGCAACAATTAAGTATAGAGACTAGATAGAGAGAGAAAAAGAAAATCATCAAGCGCGCCTGTGAGATCGATAAGATGCTTTCACTGTCAGAAAACAAATGATAAGACTCCAATCAATCGAGACAAGATCTCGGAGAACAGATATGTATGCATGCATGGCTGAAATCGTAAAAGGGTACTTGGGTTGGTTGGATGGATTGCCTGGTAGATTTCTCTTCTTCTTGGCCGGTGGCGCCGCCGGCGGTGCGCCTTGGCTGGACGCCGCAGTAGGCGCCGCTGTTGCCACGCCGGTCAGTGACGCTGCCAGCTGCTGCTGCTGGTGCTGGTGCTGTTGGTGTGATATCAGCGGCTTAATCTGGTCATGCTGGTCCCCATCCCTGCTAATCCCGAAGAACGCCGCCGCAGCTGCAGCCGATGAATTCGATGCCATCACCTCCCAAATTTTACCAACTCAACCGCAGGAGCAGAAAATTTCCTTTTCTGTTGCCCCCGTTGGATTGTTCCTCGGATTGGCAGCAGTGTTCTTCTTCTTCCTTCCTTCTTCCCCCCTGGCTGAAACAAACAAACAAAGCAAAGCAAAAAAATACTTTCCAAGTGAGACATGGCATGCAGCAATTAAGAACAGCAGCAGCAAAGCAGTCATCGCCACTGCACAGCACAGCACACAACACAAGCAACCAAGCAAAGGCAAAGCAGGAAAGCAGCAACCATGGGAGGAAGATCAGGAAAGATTTCTGCTCCCCCGAGATGACAAATTAAGGAGGTAGGACGAAAAGAACCAAAGGGAAAGAGCGGAAGGAGACGCCCCCAAAAAAATCCCTGAGGAGTAATGGCTGGCTATACCTATCTCATATGTATTCACTTGGAATGAATTGATCTGAAACAACAAACAAATCGACAAGAAGCCGAGAAAAACTCCAAGGCCTCGGCCGCTCTAGGACTCTTCCGCAGATTAACAAAAGAACAAAGTGGACAGGGAAATCCAAACAAACAGTTGCACTCAAAACAAGTAAAAAAGCATACGAACAAAAGCTCGCAAACACCCACACCCACAAACTCATATATGACACAAACACACACAGAGAGATATTAAAAAATTCACAAACCAAAAAACATATAGATGCAACAACAACCTCACTCTCTCTTCTCTCTCCCCTACTGCTTTGCTCCTCCTGCTAGCTCTCCAAGAAGAAGATAGAACAAGAAGTGGAGAGGAGAGGATGGAAGAGGAAGGCTAACAAGGTTGTTGTCTCATTTCTTTCATTTCCTTGTCATACTTTTCTTTCTCTCTCTCTCTCTTCTCCTGCTCCTTTCCTTCCACACTCTTATATGGCCCCCCTCTCTCCCTAAAAATATTTTATGAGATTTTTCTCTGTCCTCTTTCCAAGGCCTATGCACACACCAGGGAAAATATATAAAAGAAGGCCTGTTTTTATATACAACTCAGAGGAGAGGAGAGGTAGAGGAGCAAGGGAGAGAGATGGGGGATGCTTGCTGGTGATGGGAGCGGGGGGCAAGCTCACGCAGCGCCGGTGTCGTGAAGCGTCTGAGCGATGGGGTCCACCGCGCGCCTGCGTGGGGCTCACCCTCACCCCTCTCACCATCCCTCACACGCGTACGCACACATGCGCGAGCTTTTCTTCCTCCCATGGGTTTGTTTTTTCGGTTTTATTTGGAGGTTTATTTATGCCTTTTTTGTGCGATGGAGAGCGTGTATTTACGTGCGTGCGTTTCGTGTGTGTCTATGCTAATGCCTTTGCAGGTTGGGTTTTGTCAATCATTATACTCACCAAACTTCTGTTAACACACTTTTTTGGGTAGTATTTGTTCACACGTATATCTCTACGTGTAAATGAAAAAGATTACCTTGGAGTCTTGTCATTATGTACATCACATTATTCATGTGACTAGGAATAAATCGAAATTTTACTTAAGTCAATGAAGTAAATATTGTAAGGTGGTGATTCGGTATTTATGCGACTCTTAATTGTATAGTAATGGCATACCCGATCATTTTACTAGTTGAGGTGGCAACATAAAGATGAATTGCACGATATAATAATGGATATAAATCAAAACGTAAGATGAATTGCACGATATAACATAACGATCTTACTTTGTTCTTGAGACTAAAAATAAATTAAAGTTTACTTAAGTCACCCAAAGTAAATATAGTGAGGGAGTAATTCGATATTTATATGGCTTTTAATTATACAACCGATGGCACAAACTATATATACCGATCGTTCTATTGGTTGAGCTGGCAACGTAAAGATGAATTTTACAGTGGATGGTTTAGACGATATTACATTTTTCTTGCGACTACAAATAAATTAAGATTTACTTAAGTCACCAAAAGTAAATATAGCAAGAAAGTAATTAAGAATTTATATGGGTCTTAATTATATGATAGATTGTACAAACTATACCAATCGTTCTATTGGTTGAGCTGGCAATGTAAAGATAAATTTTTCCATGGATGGTTCAAACCTTCTTACATTTTGATTTATATCACTTAAAGTAAATATAGGAAGGGAGTAATTCGGTATTTATACGGCTCTTAATTATACAGTAGATGGCACAGACGATACCGATCGTTTTATTGGTTGAGCTAGCAATGTAAAGATGAATTTTACAATGGATGGTTTAGACGATCTTACTTTTTCTTGTGACTACAAATAAATTAAGATTTACTTAAGTCACCAAATTAAATATAGCAAGGAAGTAATTCAATATTTATATGGCTCTTAATTATACGGTAGATTGTACAAACTATACCGTTCTATTGGTTGAGCTGGCAACATAAAGATGAATTTTAGCATGGATGGTTCAAACCATCTTACGTTTTGATTTATATCACTTAAAGCAAATATAGGAAGGGAGTAATGCGGTATTTATACGGCTCTTAATTATACAGTAGATGGCATAGACGGTACCGATCGTTCTATTGGTTGAGATGGTTACGTGAAGATGAATTTTACAATGGATGGTTTAAAGGATCTTACATTTTGCTTGTGACTACAAATAAACTAAAATCTTCTTATGTCAAAGTAAATATAGGAAGGAAGTAATTCGGTATTTATACAACTCTTAATTGTACAGTACACGATGGTGCTTATTGTACCATCATTTTGTTGGTTGAGATGGCGACATGCATAAAGATGAATACTACGGATGGTTCAAATAATCTTTCATTTTTTATTGTGACTAAAAATGAATTAAATAATTAATTTAGTCACAAAATAAATATAGTAAGTGGGTAATTCGATGTTTATACGACTCTTAATTATACAACATATGGCACAGACTGTACCGATAGTTTTGTTGGTTGAGCTAGCAATGTAAAGATGAATTTCGCAGTGGATGGTTCAAACAATCTGAACAGGTTCTCTCAACCAATTGTTTCATTTTATGGGCTCACTTAAGACATGTGTGAGAAGTATGACTATATGTTAATTTGTAGTGGACATTTTTAAATTACAAAATGATGATTGTAGTAGATGAGATTCAGCATATATTGTTCTTTTCATTCTACATGTAAATGAAAAAGATTACCTTGGAGTCTTGTCATTATGTATATCACATTATTCATGTGACTAGGAATGAATCGTAATTTTACTTAAGTCATATGAAGTAAATATTGTAAAGTGGTGATTCGGTATTTATGTGGCTCTTAATTGTACAGTAATGGCGTACCGATCATTTTACTGGTTGAGCTGGCAACATAAAGATGAATCGTACGATATAATAATGGATGGTTCAAACAATCTTACACTGTTCTGTGACTAAAAATAAATCAAAGTTTACTTAACTCACCTAAAGTAAATACAGTGAGGGAGTAATTTAGTATTTATACGACTCTTAATTATACAGTAGATGGCACAAACTATATATACCGATTGTTCTATTAGTTGAACTGGCGATGCAAAGATGAATTTCTAGCACACGAGTTATTTCACCTATATGAGGCATTCCATCCAAGTGACTACAAATAAATTAAGATTTACTTTAAGTCACCAAAAGTAATTATAGCAAGGAAGTAATTCAGTATTTATACGGCTCTTAATTATACGATAGATTGTACAAACTATACCAATCATTCTATTGGTTGAGCTGGCAACGTAAATATGAATTTTACCACAGATGGTTCAAACCATCTTACGTTTTGATTACGAGTACAAATAAATTAAAATATCCTTATATCACTTAAAGTAAATATAGGAAGGGAGTAATTCGGTTTTTATAGGACTCTTAATTATACAATAGGTGGCACAGACGGTACCGATCATTCTATTGGTTGAGATGGTGACGTAAAGATGAATTTTACACTGGATGGTTCAAACGATCTTACATTTTGCTCGTGACTACAAATAAACTAAAATCTTCTAATGTCACTTAAAGTAAATATAGGAAGGGAGTAATTCAGTATTTATATAGCTCTTAATTGTACAGTGGATGATAGCGGCATGGTGCATACTGTACCATCATTCTATTAGTTGAGATGGCAACATTCATAAAGATGAATATTACAGACGGTTCAAATAATCTTTCATTTTAGTGGTGACTACAAATAAATTAAATAATTATTTTAGTCACAAAACAAATATAGTAAGTGAGTAATTCGATATTTATACGGCTCTTAATTATACAACATATAGCACAAACTGTATTGATAGTTTTGTTGGTTGAGCTAGCAACGTAAAGATGAATTTCACAGTGGATGGTTCAAACAATCTGAACAGGTTTTCTCAACCATTTGTTTCATTTTATGGGCTCACTTAAGACATGTGTGAGAAGCAGTATGACTATAATGTTAATTTATAGAGGACATTTTTAAATTACAAAATGATGATTGTATTGTTCTTTTCATTCTTTTGACTACAAGTGAAAATTTGCATTGGTCATGAAAGCAACTGTAGCAAGCTTGGGTAGTAAACTTCGCATACTTGTACTTGTACAACAGATAATATACTACCATTTTTTTTTGTCAAGCTGGCATTGTAACGGATGAACTGAACTGTGGAGGGTTCAAATATATGATCGTAATGGATTGTACCATCATTGTTTCAGTCTATTGGTTCATTCAGAACATAAGGTCTGCTTATGTAATTATAGTGCATTTGCAACTTTATGACTATGAAAAAAAAATCATGGTTTTCTTATTAATTGTAGTGACTGGTATATTACAAAATAATGATTGTAATAGATGAATCATATTAACTGTACATATATATGATTTAGGCACGCTCGGGCACAACCTGATTTATTCCTAGAGCATTGATATGTATATGTATGATGACGCGAATATTAGGGAATTGAATGACCTAATATTAAATAATTAATTAGAAGGGGTGAATCTTCGAACCCAGGTCATCTAGCCCACCACCTTATGGAGTCAGCCAGAAGACCTCTGGGTGTTTCTCGATATATATGTACGATGTAGCACAATTTAAAGCAACTCTTTTGGAATGATCAGTTTTTTTTTTTTTGGGGGGGGGGCGGATTTAGAACACCCATCACATGGATTATTATGTTTTAATTTAGTGATCCAAGAAGTTTTTCTTTCCACTTTAATCTTTTTTCTTCTTTTTTAGCAGGAGCACATGCATGCATATAAAGGATGCACATCGTTGCCCATCTGGATGACCAGAGGATATGGGATACACAAAACAAAATATGACAAGGATCATCAATCCATTTTG